TAACACTCTCTCGTCGTGCGGTTTCGTTTGAGACGCAAGAAAGAATGGGCCTCCCCCCCCCGCAGTGGTCTTTCTGACGGTGGTGCCGAAACCCCTTCTGATCTCGTGACGTTCAGTATCTGTCAGATTCGCCGACAGCTGTTAAGGACACCCAGGAAGACCTCGAGGTGCCCTTGTCTCAGCTGGACGTGCGGGCGAGTGGAAAAATGCGCTAAATACGCGGCTAAGAGCGATTCGTCCAGGGTTTGTTTCAGTCATCTCGTGATTTGACCGAAATGGACGAACGCCGACTAATTGACGGAAGCGTTTGAATTTTTTTTTGTACTGGAAGATGTGATGAGGGCTGTCTGGTAAAATCAGGTTTCTCGTCAGCGTGTTCATTACCTGAGGCGCTGAAGACCTCTTCGTGCTTTGTACCACGAACACGAGATTAGTGTCTAATTGAACGACTTCATTAATCTTGAACCGAATTTCGTTGACTAATTTTCAGTTATTATGACTCGTTAATAATCGATACAGGCATTCGACTTCTCTAGACATTTGACTGCAAATTATTTCTGCCTGGCGCAAAAGCCAATTATAAGCGGCCTTTAACAGAGGAGTAGAACGCGACGTCCATGCTGTGTATTTAGTTTGCTTTCGTGGACGCTCCTCCCCTCCTTGAAACGGATTGGCCTTTTGACACACACAATCCACGTGCTCTTGGTATGAGCAGTCTTTCGCGAACTCGCAGGTCGATATTTTACCCACAGGCACCGAATGCAGGGGGTGTAGAGAGCACCCCCCCCCACCACCACCAACTCCGTTGGTGTCATTGGAAAGACGTCACTCCGCTCCAACAGCAGAAGGCGGCGCCGGATAAAATGTATACGTCGTAAAATATTCATGCGTAGTTTTCGATAGACAAATTGGGGTACTGATCGCTCACATACGTCCGGTAAGCCTGCCCTGTGTTTGACATAGCCGAAAGTGGAATCCCGTGCGATCCGCGGTTTATCGAGGGATTCATTTCGTGCCGGAAGAGGCGCTGCAGTCGAGTCCGGAAAAGTTGTTTGTTGA